TCTCCGATGTAGAACTCACCAATGATAAAGTTGAGTGCTTCTTCTAGCTAACTTTCTGTTTTGTGTGATTTGGAGACCTTAGGCTTGATCGGAGCAGAGGAAGTAGTGGGTGAGGACTCAGGGATGCCTATCAGAGTTTCTGCGTTGACTAGATATGTAGAGAGCAGACACAGCCCATGCATGTGAGAAAACAGGTTATGTGTTATGTTTTTTTTAAAATCACACTTGGCCTGCGGAAACATTTAGACACTAGAGCATGGGGGAAGGAGGCAGGGGTAGCTACTTTGAAGGAGATGATGGGGCAAGTTCATCTGTAGATGAGAAAGATGTCTCTGGACAAAGAGGGCACCTTGTCTCCTTCCTCTACCATAAAATATTGTAATTTCTCATTGTTGTCAGCCTAAACTTCATCTATAGCATGAAGGTAAGGTTACTAGTGAATAGGTCCCTTGGTCAAGAGAGGGCTAGTTATCCTTTGAAATAAACTGACCAGGATCAGGAAATAGTTCTCCTGGAATGGTGAGAAAGTTCTCATATCTTCTAGGAGCTTTATAGTTTTGGTTTCACATTTAGGTCTACGATCCATTTTGAGTCAATTTTTGTGAAGGGTGTAAGATATGTTTAGATTATTATTTTTTGCATGTGAATGTCCAGTTGTTCTAGCACCATTTGAAGAGACTATCTTTGCTCCATTGTGTTGCCTTTGCTTCTTTGTCAAAATCCAGTTGACTATATTTGTGTGGGTCTATTGCTGGGCTTTCTATTCAGTTCCATTGATCTTTTTGTCTATTCTTTTTTGAACACCACACTGTCTTGATTATTGTAGCTTTATAGTAATTCTTTTTTTATATTTAAGATACTTAGTTTATTAATTTCATTATAATAATACACAAAATTACATATCACATAAAGTGACATAACATATCACATAACAAATTAGAGCTATTACTAGTTTTATATTGATATTTCATAAAAACTTTAATTAAAACTCCCCTTGTCCCTCTTTGGTGTTAGCTATGGGTCCTCACTGGATTCCCTTTGTGAGTCATCTAGGTTTTCAGAACACACAATTTTCAGTTTCATCAAAATTGCATGTAATGATTCATGATTCATGCTTCCAGCACTGAAACTATTATATCAAGACACAGGGACCGGTTCCTATCACATGAGTACAGGTGCATCTTTTACTTATCATACAAAGTTATACTTGTGAGGTTTACAATGTAACCACTTACTCTATTGCTATTTACAGAGAGATTTTTAAAAGACTTAATTGACGATAGTTGTCTTCTTGCAATTGTGAGATCAATCCCCAGTGAGTTAAATGTATTCCTCTTCATTTTTTTTTCTTGTTACTTTGATTGTGTCAAGTGGCTCCTATAAGCATCCT